TAAAGATTTTATTTATTCATAAGTGACAGAGAGAGAGGCAGGGAGAAGCAGGCTCCCCGCTGAGCAGGGAGCCCGATGCGGGACTCGATCCCAGGACTCTGGGATCATGACCTGAGCCAAACGCAGACGCTTAACCATCTGAGCCACCCAGGCGCCCTATATTTTTTATTTTAATTCCAGTATAGTTAACATAGTGTTAAATTAGTTTCAGGTGTACAATATAGTGATTTAACAATTCTGTATATTACTTAGTGCTCATCAATATACCCTTCTTTTATACACAACATGCAACCTACAATCAGAAATTATAAAACATGCACAAAAGGGGATAGAAAATGGGGCCAATAAACAGGAGAAAAAAGAAACAATAGAAGCAGACCCACCGATGATCCAGATATTGGAGTTGGCAGACAAGGACTTAAAAATAACGATGATTAATGTATTAACTGCATGAAAAGACAAATAGGAGCAAATTATAGGGAATTTTAGCAGGACTGAATCTATTTAAAAAGAACCAAAGGAGCAGGTAGAACTGAAAATTGCCATCTCTGGCATCATGTGCTCCTTGCATGAATTTTATAAAGGCTCATAGGACTAAAGCATAAAGTCACAACCATAGGAATTAGACACAGAAGACAGAATAGAAGGTATCTAAACTGAGGTATAGGGAGAGAAAAAAAATAAAAGAATGGAGAAAGCAGGGGTACCTGGGTGGCTCAGTCGGTTAAGCATCTGACTCCTGATTTCAGCTCAGGTCATGAACTCAGGGTCCAGGGGTAGAGCCCTGCATTGGGTTCCATGCTCAGTGGGGAGTCTGCTTAAGGATTCTTTCTCCCTCTCTGTCTGCACGCCCCCCCCTACTTTCTCTCTCTCTCTCTAATTAAAAAAAAAAAAAAGTGGAGAAAGCAGAGCCTAAAAAACACATGAGATTCCAGTATATGAGTGATGGATATTCCAGAAGGAGAACAAGGTTAGGACCAGAATAAACCGGAAATGACCCAAATGTCTCTATAGGAATAAGGAAGAACAGACCACAGCTGCTTGCACCAACATTGACAAACCTCAAAGACATGTTGAGGAAAGAAGCCAGACGTGAAAGAGTACCTTTTTAGGATTCCATTTTATGAAGTTCAAGAACAGGCAAAACTAAGCTATAGAGAAGTCAGACTCGTGGTTTGGTCTGAGGCGTACCGATGGGAAGAGGTGTGAATGCAGAGTCACAGCCCCACCCAAGTGTCCTTACAACTCTGCACATCTCTACGTAGGCTGTGTAGGCGAGACTTGAGGCATCTGACTTGAGTCTTGACAGAATGCACTACCATTCCTCCTGGAGCAAGGGGCCCTAAGCAGCCGGGTGAGGAGCCTCCCCATCTGTGGGAGACCACCATGAGGCCCTTCCTCATCCCATTCCTCTAGTTTTAGTTGAGTACAGGGCTATTCACCTGCCCCCCACTCCTCGTAGAGAGCAGCCTGAGGCCATGCAACTGCTTGGCTGTAGTTTAGAGTTGACTCCTTGGCCACAGAGTGACCTACCCCCATACCTCCTGTCCCGGTCCCTCCAGTTCAATGTCGTCCTGTGGAACTAGGGGTACGAGAAGTTGGCACCATGCTGGTCTTGCTTTTGCTGTCTGTGAATAAAAACCTGTCTGGATGCACTGGGCCTTGTCGTCTCCTTCTTGGCTGAGTCTATGATGTGAGGCGGTCTATGGGCCTTGTGACAGCAGTAGTGACCCTTGTGGCCCTGTTAGCCACCACACTGCCCTCAGGGACTACCTGACCACCTGACCAATCTGGCACTTTCTGTGGGGCCGATAAGGCCACAATCTCACTTTGGAGAAGAGACAGGCTTCTACGGACTGTCAGGTCAAGTATGGGAGAGAACTCTGCCTCACTTAGTGTCCACTTCGTGCCGACGTGTTTGGTGACATCAGAGACAGGTGGTCTTTGGCCATCATCCCTGGTCCCAAATGAGTTCCATCAGTGTTCTTTTTTTTAAGATTTTATTTTTAAGTAATATCTACCTCCAGCATGGGGCTCAAACTCACAACCCCCAGATCAAGGGTCACAGGCTCTACCGACCGAGCCGGCCGGGAGCCCCATCCATTGGTGCTTAGAGTTAGAAGCCAAAGAGGGAGTTTCTTGCAGAACTGAAGAAAGCACACAGCAATTACTGCTCACTCTCTTCCTGTTACTACGGATGGAACACTCCCTGGTGATCAAGGGCAGTCCGCCACTCCGAAATCCACTGGGATCCACTTACAGTGAGTGAGAAAGGAGGAAATGAGAGAGAGATTTGAACAAAAGTCCAATGAAATCATAGAAGCATGGCTCATCTGACTAGCCAATGAGGATGCTATGCAAGTTCCACAGGCTGACAAGGAATGGAAGTCATTCGGGTGCTTCACAATTGACCCCAAACTCCAAGCCCCCACCCGGCTACAACCATCCCGGCTAATGTCATGGATGTGAGGGAGGACAATATAAAGATAAATCAGGGCTTGTGCAGGGGGTCTTCACAGCTATAATGAAATGGTGGCCTATCCAGGATGAATTCCTGTCATCCAATGAGCACCCTCAGATAGTACTAGGAGAGGCTACCCCTTCCTTTTAGTGCCCTGGAACCTGGATTCATAGTGGAGATCGTGAGTGCCCAGAAAACAAAACAGTCACCCAAAGTCAGCTGGAACATTTGCTCAACACCACCAGGCTGTGGGAGAAATGGAGCCTTCTCTTGCTTTCTGAGGATGTCTCCGGGAAAGTATTCAGCAGCTAGTAGCATGATAATTTTTCCAGAATGGAAGCCTTGGCAAAGGCCAAGATAATGCACCCCAGGCCAAGGTAGGGGAGAGAAACCAGGCCATTTGGACCTGGCTATTGTGCCAGGGGTTCCCGAAAGAGGAAAGTGATAATCTTACTGTGACAAAAAAATTATCTCTGGTTATCATGCCACGGGATGGCCATGGGACTTAAAGATGTGGGCTGTAACTGGGCCGGCTTTGGTGTGTCCTGTGAGCAAACAGGAGAGACGCCAAGAAAGCCCTGACCTCCCCACTGAGGTTTGTGCTGTTCAGACTGTGGTTTGACCCAACACTTTCTGCACTATCCTTGACCCCCTTCATAGACAAACTGGGGCTAGGTTGGAGGCCAAGGTCCTTTCGTCCCCAGGGGAGACCAGAGGCCCTATGCAGTGGCCAAGGTGAATTAGAAAACTGAGAGCAACGAAAATTCCCAAAGCCTCACAGGCCTCCTGTGGGCCTCTGTGATACTGGGACATACTCTCAGGCATGGCCAAAAGCTTCCCTCACTAGATATGGACAAACTGGACGCTGGATTGCCGTAGTTTTGGGGTGAGTCCTTTTGAGCCAACACCCACCCAGGTGGTTGTAACTAATACTGTTGGATATATTGTGGGAGTGGATGTTTTGAGTATGTGTGTTAACGTCTCTTGATTGTAAGGGATGTTCCCGATGGGGAAATGTCACAATCAGGATCATGGTCATTAGGATAGGGACCAGGGGTCACCTCCTCTAATGGAGCCAAGTGGTTACCCCGAAGCAGAGCGGGATAGGGGCATGAAGAAGGGAACTACTGTCTCGATGAAGGAACTAGTAGATTTAAGGGGGCTCAACGACCTGATATCTCCTTGTAATAGCTCTAAGTGGCCACTAACAAAGGCCAGTTGCCTGTGGTGCATCACAGATTATTACAAGTCACAGAGCTCATGGCACAGACTGAAGACACCTGGGATGTGGTGGTGGACATTGCTTGCTAATGCCTTTGTTAGCATCCCATTACATCCAAAGGATGAAAATCATCTTGCCTTCATTGGCTTGGGTTGCAATACACCTTTACAGTGATGCCACAGGACTAGCTGAATTCCCCTGTGATTTGCCACCAGTCCTAACTCCTGTAGGAAGAGCACTATGACAACAGATTGCGTGGAACACATGTTCCTGTTCACAACCCATGGAAAGCATGGTGGTTATCTTGTGTGTCCACTTGGCTGAGCCATGGTGCCCAGATCATGGTCAAACATTATTGTGGATGTTGCTGTGAAGGCTTTTTTAGTTGCTTGACATTTAACTTGATGGTCTTTGAGTAAAGCAAATTTCCCTCCATAACGGGGGTAGACCTTATCCAATCAGCCGAAACCCTGCAGAGAACAAGAGACTGACCTCGCCCAATCAAGAGGGAATTCTGCAGCAGATGGCCTTTGGACTTGAACGGCAACATTGGCTCTTCCCTGGGTCTCCAGGGTCTCAGCCTTCAGAACTGAAGTGTAGCATTAGCTCCTCTCCGGGTCTCCAGCCTGCTGGTCTACCCTCTAGATTTTTGACTTGCCAGCTTCCATTATTGCGTGAGCTTATTCCTTTAAACACACAGACACATCCATACATCCTATTGGTTCTTCTCTGGAGAATCTTGGCTAATACAGGCTACCCACGGAAAAGGACCCTTTGACCATGAACATCAGTGGAACCAACAAGCTGGTTAGACCTGCACCACCCAGGTAAGGACTACAGCCACCTGGATCCATTATCACACAGGACGTGGCCGCACAGCTGTAACCCAGGGCCTGGCTAATATGCCTGGACTACTGGCTATACAGTGGAGTGACAGAACTCTGGGGCATGTAGTCTGGGGCACTGAACCTGGCTGGTCATGACAAATAGACAAGATGCGTCTCCTACTTTCTGCTCAATGGTACTGCTGGGCAACAACTGTTCTCGGCAGCTTTTTCCAGAGATGAACAATTCCTGTCTGCACGGTAGATGTGGGCCCTACCATTTAAAGACTCCTAAATGGGCCGTGTTGCACATTTGGGTTCTCCAAACACATCCAATCAGACAGTGGTGCTTTCATAGCCAAGAACACTGGGCAGTGGGTAACTACCTGTGGCATTCCCCAGACATTGCATGCCCTGTATCACCGACAGGGAGCAGGTGCCAACAAAAAATGGAACGTGGGGCGCCTGGGTGGCTCAGTTGGTTAGGCGACTGCCTTCGGCTCAGGTCATGATCCTGGAGTCCCGGGATCGAGTCCCGCATCGGGCTCCCTGCTCGGCGGGGAGTCTGCTTCTCCCTCTGACCCTCCCCCCTCTCATGTGCTCTCTGTCTCTCTCATTCTCTCTGTCTCAGATAAATAAATAAAAAATCTTTAAAAAACAAACAAACAAAAAAAAAAAACCAAAAAAGGGAACGTACTCTTAAAGGAAAAACTAAAAAAGATAAGTAGACGGCCGAAGCTCAGCTCCCAATGGAGCCCACCCTTGAGACGAGGCGGTGTGAATTCCGAACGTGGCAATTCCAGGAAAGGGCAGTTCTCACTCAGATAGTGTTTAACTATAAGGTTGAGAGGGAGAAAAGAGGCCTCAACTGGTCTCCTTTACTCTTTCTTTCCCCTCCCATCCCTGCCTCCAGGAAACCAGGCTCCTGGGACCTACCGCAGCAAAGAAGAGCCGGGGGTGGGAGATCCTAACCTGGTGTTTCTCCTGCTGCCCTTGTTATGGCTGAGGACATTAGGCCTATATTTGGCCTGCCAAACACAAACCAGTCTAAAGTCTGTAGTACAAGTGGTGATGGACAGTTCTTTTGCTCCCCGAACTTTGTGCTAGCCAGTCAAGGCAGCATATTGACGGCTTCTAACACCTCTTGCTGCTCTTGAATTAATGAATTAGGACAGGTGGAGTGATCTATCTCTCGGCTCTAAGGTTGATCCCCGGTGGCATCTGGGATATCGTGGTTTGGCTCCGAGTAGGGAGCCTGGCTGTGGTCGGTCCTCCACGTGGGCCTGATCACCCTACTGAGAGGCACAGTTGCGGGCACTCTCATCTGATGTTAAGACAAATAGAAAGGATTTGGTCCAAGCTCCCATCAGTACAACTAACTCTCTGATGGAGTGGCTATGCTCCTGAAAAGAATTCTTAGCTGGAGAAATGAAAGGTTGGGGTGGCAGGAAGTAGAGTCGTAGGAAGCAGCTCCGACACAGCGCCCTGATGCCCTTGTCCAGCTGCCGATAGGCCACGAAGGTGAGGCTTGACCACAGAACCACCCAAGTCTTGGCAGAACGCATTATGATTCCCCCTGGAGCCAGAGGACAGAAGCAGCCTGACAGTGTGGGGACACTGCCCCCAGGCCCTCTCCCAGCCCTCCTCCTGGTTCATCTGAGTGCCAGGCTTTCCACCCGGCCCCTCCCTCCACTTCGAGGGCAGCTGCAGGCCGTGAAAGTGTCCGATTGTTGTTGAGTTGGCTCCTTAGCCACAGAGAGACCTACCACCTCGCTGCCTATCATCTGGTCCCTCCAGTTCACTCTGGTCCTCTGGGGAAAGCTGACACCATGCTGGTTTTGCTTTTGCTGTCTGCGTGAGTAGAAGGCTATCTGGATCCATGGGGGCTTGTCGACAAGTCTCCTTACTGGCTGAGGCTACAGAAATGTGGCAGGCCCACCTAGCAGCTTCTGTAGTGACCCTCGTTAGCCACCATGCTGTGCTTAGGGACTGCTTGACCTCTTGACAGAGGGGAACATTTTGGGGTTGATGGGAATGTTCCATTTTGATCTGAGTGGTGATTATCCTTGTGCATACATTCATCAAAACTAAGCTGTACACTTAAGACTTGTGCCACAGACTGTGAATTATATGTCAATTAAAAAAAAAAAAAATCACCAGGGAACAAACGGGAGGTCTTGAAAATTATGATCGCCAAAATGAAAAATTCCACAGAAAGGTTGGAAGATAAATTTCCCAGAACACAGGGCAAAACACAGAGACATAGGGGACCATGAAC